GTAGGGTGAGAATACTTAAGATCTACCCTTTTATCAAAAAGCAAGTGCACGATACATTATTATTCTACATATTCTAGGTAAGTACTAGTCTGGTAAATACAATGGTAAAGAGGAAATCATGAACAAAGACCCAAAAGCACAAAAAAGCTTGGTCCATCTGGGGACCTGGAAGTTGACTGCGGTTGCTAGAACTGAACGTGCCAGCTCAGTAGTGGGAAATGAGGGGAGAGATACAAGAAATTCTTGAGTAATTCATGAAGCTAACAGGTCTTCCTCTTCCAGGAGATACTAAGCAGAGAAGTGAGGCTTATATGGTGATCACAGAATTTGTCACCCAATGATGACATGTTGACAATCAGTGAAAAGTGGAACTTTTCTAGCCATGCTGGACTGATGGGCATCCTACATCTGAGGGTTAACTAAGTCAGTCTGGGAGGTGGTATGGAGAATGGATGGGAGAGATGGGAAGACCTAAGCCACTATTACAATCCAGATGGGAATTGGTGACCAGGGAAGAGATATAATTGTGATTAAAATTAGCAAGTTGAGTGAATAGAGCTTGGATATTTTGAGGTGTGATGGGGGTAAAAAAAAAAAGAGGGGGAAATCAAATACTTTGTTTAAGGTCTTTGATCAATGAACACTCTGAACTAATGACAGGTTAAAGAATGGAATACATTCAGGGATGAAAGTACATACAAAGTGATAATTGAGTTCTGCCTATCCTGAAGCTGGAAAACAATGGTATACACATGTCTAATTCAGAGATATGCCTGTAAAAGTATAATGAAGTTGAAATGCCAAAAATAAACTGAGGGATGTGCAGTACTTCGCACATATGTCAGGAATGTCCAGGCTTACTGTTCAGATCAGTGATTGGCCATTTTCTCTGCCCATGGCATTGGAAAACACTTGCTTTGCAATTATCTGGAGTATACTCCTGAGATGATTATCTTTCATTCCCCACCAGTTCACCATCTGTCCTCCACTCCGACCTGTGTGGACTATATCGATGGGTATCTGGCCCTTTAGATTTGTTTGGACTTTGCCCATGGACATCGCTCACAGGAGTCTGGGAGGGAGGAAAGTGAGGGCAGGGTTTCATCTTCTCCACTTCCCCTGGTAGGCCACAGGTGCTGGGTTGCAAACCTCTATTGTGGCCACAGCTTCTATCAGGTGGGCCTCTCTAGCAGACACCACCTTCAGATTCAAACAACCTGCTTCACCACTTGTCTGTCCAAGTGAGAAGAAGTCCTCTCCCCTCCATTCCTTGCCCTGGAGTGAACAGTTCATCTCGGTGGTTTCC